ATTGACCAATGAAAATAACACAATAGACAGATAACCCTCCTCCATCAACTTGCCAGCAAGCCCCTTTGCTCTCTGAGCCTCAGTTTCTCCATCTGTAAAACAGGGGGATTAAGGAAGTCAAGACAGCAATCAGCAACAGAATGGGGGAAAACATTTAGTGGTCACATATCAGTTCAGAGTCCAGTGTTTGGAATCTACAGAACACTCTGACAATTCAAGAATAAAAAGAGAATCCAACTTTTCAAAACAAGTAAGAATAATTTGGAGAGATACTTTCCAAAGAAGAGGTATAAATTTCCATTAACACAGAAAGATGCTCACCTTCCTTAAGGAAATGCAAACCAAAACTACAGTGAGGGGTCAGTGAGATGAGTTTGTGGGTAAAGGCACTGGGTGTCAATCTGACAACCTGAGGTCCCTCCCTAGAATTTATATGAACACACACATGTGCACAAACACACACACACACACACACACACACACACACACATGCACGCACACACGCATGCACAACAATAGCAACAGCAACAACAAAAAACTATTGCTGAGATTCCAGCTCACATCCTCTGCCACACTAGAATAAAATAAAAATAAAAACCCAGAAAGTAATAACTTATTGAGGATGCAGGAAAAAAATGAATGTTTGTGCATTGTTAGTAGAAATACAGAGTGGTACAGTCTGTGTGGAAACAGTTCAAAATATTAAACCTAGGGCTAGGCATGTTACCACACACCTGTAATTCCCAAACTGTGGAAGCACTATCAGGATGATTGCAGCCTTGAGACAAGCATTGGCTACACCATAAACCCTGTCTCTCAAAACCAAGAGCGACTAGATGTTCTGCCACACACCTTTAATCTGCCTCTGGTGGGTGGGTCTTCACGAGTTCAAGGCCACGTTCCTGGTCTACAAATTGAATTCTATGCCTGTCAGAGCTACACAGCGAGACCCTGTCTCAAACAAAGCCAAACAAATAGAAACAAACAACAGCCCCCCTGCCGAAAAAAATCAAAAAAATCAAGAGGAGCTGGAGAGACACCTGAGCAGTTAAGAGTACTGACTACTCTTTCAGAGGCCTGAGATTGGTTCCCAGCCCCCGTGTGGTGACAAACAACAGTCTGTAACTCCAGTTCCAGGCAATCTGATGTTCTTTTCTGGCCCCTGTGGGAACTGCACACACACGGTGCACAGACATACATACAGGGAAGATACTCATACAGATGAAGTTTTTAAAACAAAAAACAAAACAAATTATAAAACCTGGACCTAGCATCTTGCCATTGGTTTAATTTCTGTTATTATGAAGAAAAAAGAAAACCAGCCTGCCAAGACAAAGCCAAACAGCTTAGAGGAGAAATCCTAACTCCAGATTCTTGTCCATCACTGTGGGAAGTGTCATGGTGGCAGGAGTTTGAGCCACCAGCTCCGATCACACCCACAATCAAGAGTAGAGAGACATGAACACATGTCTGCTCACTTGCTAGTTGTGCTCAGCTTGACTTCTGTGCTCTTACACAGTTCAGGAGCCCCCGCCTAGGGGATGGGGCTGCCCACAGTGGGCTGAGTCTTCCCGCATCAGTTAACTTCATTAGGACAAGCCCTCACATGTGCCCACGGGCCAACCAAGAGTGGGCCGTCCCTCATTGAAACTTTGTTCCCAAGTGATGCCACGTTTGGTCAAGTTGACAAGTGCAGCTAGCCATGGCACATGTGATATAGCAATTCTAATCTTAAGTGTGTGTATAAGAGCCCAGCTCTACCATGTACAGGCTTACACATGAAGGCTCATAGCAACATTACTCATAATAACCCAAAGGTAGAAGTGAACCCAAAATCTTGTCAACTGATTGATGGACAGGCAAAATACTGTATTTTCACACAGTAGAATATTATTTATAACTAGAAAGGAATGAAGCACCACTGATCCAGGCTACAGTATGCACGAACCTTGAAAACATTACACCAGCACACAAAAGGGCATATATGTGTGTCTATCTATCTATCTATCTATCTATCTATCTATCTATCTATCTATCTATCTATC